ACATAATTTACTTTTTTTTCATATATACTTGCTTATTTTTTTTGAAGTGAGGCTTGCTCCAGCTGTCCTGCATACCACAATGGCCCCTCTGCTCCCAAGTATTGAGAAGACAAACCTATGCCAGGTAGAAATGAACTGTTTGCTGTTTGAACCGAGCTAGACATCAAAAACTGAACCACCGCTTTTACTATATATTACAGATAAAATGAACCTAGCAAACAACAAAACTAGTCACAAAAAGCTAAAACTAAAAATATATTGTAGAAAATATAGAAATTCCTTATGACTTACAAGTTAAGAATTTATCTCTCAGCACATAAGTAGAACTGAAAAAGAGAAAACCCATATATACTGGCCTTCACCAAAGTCTAAAGTGTCTACTTTCTGAATAGTGTTTGAAGACTACAAGAGAGAAAATATTCACAACAGTAACTCATACAGAATTCTTATCCAGTGTTAAGTTATACAACTGAGTAAGGAAATCAAAATTTAAAATACAGAAATTTGAAACTATACTTCTCCCTAAGAGATAATGTCAGGTATATCCATGAAAAACAGTAGCGGGTACTAGGAAGCAGGCCAACCAGAAGTGCTTACCTACCCCAGGGCTCAATCCCCAGCATCATATAAACCAGGTGTAATGCCCCACACCACCTCTAATCTCAAAACTTGAAAGAAGAAAAAGGGAGATCAGTAGTTCAAGTTTGCCCCTAACTGTGCAGCAAGTTCAAAGCTGGCTTAGCCAGAACACATGACACTATAAAAAAAAGAAAAGAAAAAAAGGAAGAAACGCAGCCTCACATCACCAGGGAAATACAGACTTAGAACAAAACATCCAGTAGCCTGGCTAAAATGATAAAGATGGACAATACCAAGATTGACAAAGTTTTGAGGAAATGAACGCTTCTTCAGCAGTTGCTAGTAAATACAAAATAAGGAGAACTTTAGGAACTAGTTGAGAGATCTTTAAAAGTTTCAGATAAGTTCCACACACAGCAAGAGTTGGCCTTAATTGTATCCACTTAGGATAAAGAAAGCAACACATGTGTCCATACACAGAATGAATAATTTGTACACAGCAGCTTTACTCATAATAAAGCAAAGCACCTGAAATGTTCATAACCAATAGCTAAGCTGTTGTATATTCCTACAAGAGAATAGTAAGGAACAGAACAGAAGACATCACTGACATGTGCAATAACACGGATCAATTTGAGCATGGAAAAACTCTGAATACACTGTGCTCAGCAAAACATGCAGGCATAAGAGTACACATGTATGATCTAGTTATTTATAATTCTATAAAAGCAAAGTCTAACTTAGAGCCCCAGAAAGTAGACAGCGCCCTGGGCTGGGGTAGAGGTAAACTAGAATGCTTAGAATGTTTGGAGACTTTTTGGGTCGACATGGAACTACTCAAGGTGGCAGTGACGGTGAAGATGCACACATCTGTCAATGCATGTCAACAACTTTTCAATCTGCAAAGTTAAAGTGGTTGTTCATAATCTAAATTACCGTCACTTAAGAAAAGACAAAAGTGGGTACAGGAGATTGCAACTCACTCACTCCGCATTCCTCCCTTCAGCTTTAGGCCTCATTATTATTACTATTCCAAGCAGCAGACCTTTAAGTAGTGTAAGCAAACCTTCATGTTGCCTTGTAACAGACATTATTCATTTTCAATAAAATCTCCACAACTTAAAAAAAAAAAAGGCAAACATTAGGACTTCTACATTTTGTTTTTACTAAATTTCAGGCTTACTTTGAAATATACTCAATTTTTATTAGTATTTAAGGGGGTCCTAAAATGATCCTAAATGAGTCCAAAGTAAATACTAGTATTTAAAGGAGTCCTTGTGGCCTCTGAACTACCTAAGAGCTGGGGACATGGAGATTAAACCAGATGACTACCTGTAATGGCCAGGTAGTACAGAACCTAGAGCGAGAGAGACCTCCCAGATCTCCTGGCAGTTCTGAAGCACATGTGCCCCCCATCCCCACCCCCTCCTCTTCACTGCTCTCCATGACAATGTAGCTGGAAGGAGACAGGACCAACCCAGAGGAGGAAGAGAAAGGGACCAGTGCATCCTGTCCTTCATCTCCCGGGAGGCAGGAGGCAGATCAGGATCCCTTGGTTAAAGGATGGTCTCAGAAGCAAGATGAAAGGATTCATTCCTGCCTAACACGCTTTCCCAACAAGGTTGGGTCACACTGATCAGCCTTCCCACCACCCTCCAAGTACAACATGGGCAGTTCACACATAACACTCACCGAGGAACTGTATACAAGCCCAAAGGGCCACCATGGCTCCTGCATTCATTCAAAGTAGCCCTACTCAATTTAGCATGTGGCTAAGGGACACAACTTCAGATAAAAATCTTCATTTCAATTTACTTCATCGGTAGAAAGGTAATTTACAATCTGTCCTCCTTTGTCACTGGTTTTAGAAGTGAGTTTCTCTAGCCTACGATGCCCACATTCAATTCATAAACTCATCTCATCTCAGAAAACCCCATTTCAGCACACACACTGAAGGTGACGATTACGGTTCTTGTGTTGTTAACTTCTAACTTATCTAGACAGATGCCATGCCATGAAACCCCAGCCTTGAATGTCTGTTACAGAGTGGGGTTTGAAGGCTTTCTGACGGGAGGAAATTTAAGAGCTGATTAATAATTAATTCTCTTACTGCTGGGAAAGAGAAGCCAGCCTGTGAGTCACCGTGCAAAGTATAATCTGCAAACTGACAGGGCTGAGCTGACCTGATACAATCAAGAAAATACCAGTTTTCTAAGACAACTCCTTTTAACTCCTCATTAGTTTGAGCTAATAGCAAATTAAAATATTTACATGCTTATGCCATCACATCCTGTTTTGTCCAAAGGTTCCAGCTGCAGTCCATATGAGCTCTGACATGCCTCCCTTGTAACTTTCTGATACTGTTAGATATTTAAGATAAGATATAATGCTTAGTACCCTAGGCACCTGGAGAGTAACCTGAGTCTCAAGTTTTCAGGTATGGTCCCAACATATAATGCTCGATTAAGAATCTATACCATACAAACCAGAACAACAAAAAATCCATATTCAATATAATTTTATCACTAATACTGTTTGTTCATGATCATTTATTAAACATAATTATATCATTGTGAGTGTCATTTTCTCCAGACTCATAAAATTCGAGTATTACTAGAATTAACAGCTTTAGTAAACTTTTATATACTGTTGCTCACATCACACCAAAATAACGGATCTGTGTCTCTCTTCCTGCATGAAATGTTATCTAAAGTACCTTTTGGGGTCTGGAGAAATGAACCTTTCTCTCTTCTTCATAATTCACTCTCGCCTTCCCCCCATCTTATGTCTATTTTGCATCTTAAACCTGGGTAAAAGAGAGACTATCATGACCCACCAATACCGGGACAGTTGAAACAACAGGCTCAGTAGTGGAGAAGAAACACGTAGGCCATGTGAGGGCTTGCCTCTTTTGGGGTTGAGGCATAGACTCTATGCCAAGAACAATCTCTAACTGACAACCATCTTTCAGTATCAAAAGCAGTAACTTCCTTCAGGTAAAAGACTATAAAAAATCTTTTCAAAATTCACAAGAAGTAAGAAGTATTTCTGAACTAAGACAAGTTCTTCCTAGAACTAGCTAGCTAGCATGTGTAAGGAACCATGCAAAGTCTTTCATGTATACTTCTACACAGAAAAAAAAAAGATAGACGAATCTAATTTTCAAAAGCTAAGAGCACTATCTCCAAAACACAGAGGGAAAACTATTCACAAATTATATAATAAACAGATATTCATATGTAACATATCAAATGTGACTTATTCAATCCTCTAGACATCCAGCTACTCTCTGAGACTATCCCTTGTTATTTAACAAAATAATTTTTTTAATCATTCTAAAACTCTCTTCTATCCAGGGGCTAATTATCTGAAGATATAATTTGGAGGGGGGATATACTTTTTAAGGAAACTGCTGATTCTCTAACTCTGGGAAAAAAAAAAATCTAGTGAACATTCCTCTAAAATACTTCAAAAAATATCATCCTTATAAAAATACAGACCATATTTATATGTTCCAATAGTTTTTTGTAAGATTACATAATACAACAGAGACAATTTTTATCTCTAAAAGAAAAAAATGTTATATCAATAACTGCCTGAGTATCAGAATGAACAGTACCTGACAGTTGCATATGTTTGTACTATAATATTATGCAATATATTCAAAAAACAATATATTCAAAAAACAATAATTCATAGCAATAATAGTATTGGTTTGTGACTGTGACTGAGAATGTCTAACAAACTTTTTCTTGCGTTGTTTTATTTTTTTGACTGTTTTTGTTTTGTTCTGAGGCAAGGGCTTATTATGTTGCCCAGGCTGGCCTTGAACTCACAACTCTCCTGCCTTAGCCTCCTCAGTGCTGGGATTATAGGCATTTGCTACCACACCTGACACTGAACTGCTTCCTTACCATATCCATCTCGTAGTTGTGGGATTATACTATTAATCACACTCCAGCTCCTTGCTTGTCGGTCACATACTGACACTCTGATAACTCTGTCTTTTTACTTTTAGAGAGATGTTATACTTAACTGAAACTGTAACTACTTTTTTCATTTCACTGAACAGTTCCCAAAAAAAGCTATTTAGAAAGATGTTTATAAATTGTTCACTGCAAAGTGACAAGCAAGAAGTATTAGTCAGCTGTGGTAGATCAACCTGTATTCCCAGCAATCCACATGCTGAGGTAGGAAGATAACCTTGAGGCTAGCATGGGCTAAAAGTAAGAACTTGTCGCTAAAAAACAAAAGCCAATAAGCCAATAAGAAATGTTTTCAAGGTTCTTCATACTTTCAAAAATAAGAAAGGAGGTATGAGGGTCTAGCTCAGTGACAGGGTGTGAGGGTCTAGTTCAGCTGATCCAGTGGGCTAGTTTAGTTAGCCTCCCCCCAGAAGAAAAAAAGGAAAAGAAACTCTATTTTGATCAGGATAATGCAGGAGTAGACTTTACTGACAATCTGCAAATGTCATTCATCTTTACAAAAGACTGACTTGTGGTAAAGATGACTCAATCTTAACAGTAAAATGAATCCATCTCTGACACACCAGTATCCAGTTATCAAGTACTGAAGATGACACTTACCACTTCATAACTTTAAAGTCAAAACAGAAGCACAAATTAGAACATTAGAACAACAAAACCTTCAAAGAAATGTTCAGGACACACATCTGCATGCATTTTTAGGCAGACTTCAAATATTTCAAATATGCACATATAACAAAGTGATAACTTTGAATCCAAATGAATGTCAGAAATAGTCAATCTGGATGAAAACTTACACTAGAGAAGCAAGAAAGATGGGAGACTGACAATAGCAGATTTACAGGAGGGAAAGAAATCGCACACTTCCTTTATCACAAAGCAAAGTCTCCATGTTAGCGCTGCAGTAACGGCCTGTCCAGTTATACTATTCAAGAACTCACTTTCCAAACTGTGTCTTTAAGGGTGCATTCCCATACAGTCAAATTAAATGCTTATCAATTGAAACACACTTCACATAAGATGCTAATCTTAAGTATATAGTGAAAGTCACAGAAGCACAGTCCACTCATTAAAGAATAATTCCACAACTTGATTTTTGTATGCTTCATCTAAAAAAACTTGTTTTAAAACAGGACTTGTTTCCCCTCTTCCTCCACAGTGCATTGTCATCTAAGTATTAAGCAGCAACCAAAAAGAAAAAGAAAGAAAAGATTCAAACATCTTTCCATTGTGTATGGCTTCATCGGGCTTTGATAAAGACAGAGCCATCTGGGGTGGAAGAGCCATCTTCCTTCTCATTTACGATCTCTACAGTCCCAGAGGCTGACACAATAACCATTGTTTTATTTGCAGACACCGACTTCTGTTTTTCTGCCACAGCTGCACAAACAGCAACAATCTCATCGCTTTCAAAGTCATAGTCAGGGATTGACCCTGGGGAGAGATCTGGTCCTTCCGGTGGAATTTCTTTTTTTTCAATCCTCTGTGCTACTTTCTGCTGTTCCTGGAGCTTTCTTGCCCAAGAAAGGTCTTCCTTCCATATTTCAGGGTTCATTGGATATATGTGGAGGGCTACTTGAAAACTTCGAATTGCCTGGGAGAAAAGATTTTTTTTATTTGGGTTATTTCTAAAAACTACCAACTTAGGTACAATTATATACCTACAAGTAAGTATGGGTATATATGCGCACACACACATACATTTGTATAAATATAATTTTTACAATTAATTTTTTAAAAAGATAGACTTCTGTCATAATAATTAGATAATTATGGTAGAGAAAAGACATACAAGTGTGATGGGGAAGACTGACAAAATGCTGGTGTTTAAAAGCCACTAAATCAGAGGCACTGCTATGAGGGTTTGAACATCTTAAAAGAATCATGCTAATCACACAGTTCAACATGGGACAACTAGTATGCCACATAATAAAAGATAAAAAAAATCATAGGACTTGTCCCAATAGATAAAGAAATATCATTTGACAAAATTCAGTATCTTTTTTAGTGATTAAAAAGGCAATGATTAATCTAGAAACAGAAATAAAAGCCATGCACAGAACACCCAAAACCAATATCACTCAACAGTGAAAAACTGGGTACTTTACTTCAAGATCAAGAATGAGTCCAGCTCTTCCTACTTCTTTTTTTTTTAATTTTATTTTAGAGATTATAATATGATTACAACATTACTCCCTTCCTTGTCCTCCCTGAAAACACTCTCATTTGCAGCTCCCTGTTCACTTTCAAGTTCAAGGTCTCTTTTTTTATTAACTGTTATTATATGCACATATGTATGCATATATTCCTCAATATAACCTGCTTGGTCTATATAATGTTACCTGTATATAGGTTTTCAGGACTGACCATTTAGTATTAGTCAACCATTTCTTCCCATTTCTATTCAAGACTAAACTCTAAGTCCTAGCCAAAAAATTAATATATATTATATTTCATTCAAAAACAGGGAGGAAGAAGTAAAATTGTCCCTTTTTGCAGATGATACAATCTTACTCATAGACTCTACAACAAAACACAAAACTCAACTCCAAGTGGATCAAAGACCTCAAAGTAAAACCAGATACACTAAATCTAATAGAACAGAAAGTGGGGAATAGCCTTGAACTCATTGGTATAGGAGTCAACTTCCTGAACAGAACACCAACGGCTCAAGCTCTAAGATCAAGAATTGATGAATCGAACCTCATGAAACTGAAAAGCTTCTGGAAGGCAAAGGACACTGTCATTAGGACAAAACGGCAGCCTACAGATTAAGAAAAACTCAAGTGACAGCACATGCTGGTCCCCACTTCTGGTGGAAGTACAAACTTGTACAGCTACTTTGGAAATCAATTTGACATTTTCTCCAAAAACTTGAAGTAGTTCTACCTCATGACCCAGCTATTCTACATCTATTCTAGACATATACCCAAAAAATGCCCCCACTATACCACGGGGACACTTGTTCAACTATGTTCACAACAGCTTTATTCATAATAGCTAGAAACTGGAAGCAACCTATATGTCCCCCAATTGAAAAATGGATAAAAAATCTGAGGAGGAGCAAGAGGAAGGACATGGGAAGGGTTGGTGGCAATAAAGAAAAGTGGAAACAATGTAATTACATTTTAACTTTTAAAATGTCAAAATAGAAGAGGATGAAATACAAATGGCCAAAAAACATGAAAGAATGTTCATTCTCATTAGCTATTAGAGAACATAAATCAAACCTCGGTGAGATTCCATCATGAAAAGCATGGGGGTGGGGGGTTTAGGAAAAACAAAGTAACTAACTAGACACTGATCTATCATTTGACCCAGCTTTGATCCAGCTATACTACTCCTGGGTATTTACTCAAAGGACACCAAGGAGACATGTCACAGAGATACTTACACATCAATATTTAAGTAACACTACTCACAATAGTTAAGTAAGAAACAACCCAGGTGTCGATATCAGAGTGAGAGATAAGGAAAAGGTGTAATAGGCACATATACAATGCATCTTTTAAGCTATAAAGAAGAATGAAGTTATACTGTTCTCAGGAAAATGAATGCAACTGTAGACAATCATATTAAGTGTCTCAAGCCACTCACAGAAAGACAAACATCATATATTTCCTCTCATCTAATGTTCCCAGATGTTATAGAGTCACATAAAGTCATCTATGTACACATTAAATGACACAAAAGTAAGTTTGTCTAAGGGAACAAAGTGCACTAACAGGTGGGTAAGGAATAAAAAGAGAGGACAGAGAATCCAGGAGACCAGGGGGAGGCAGTAATGTTTACATGCACCTGTAAACATTTTACTTTGAAAATCAAAATATACTTAAATGTGAGCATTCTAACAATCTAATTTCCTTACCAGGACTATCTCTCCTAATCCAAGCTGAGCTCGACCTAATGTTTGCCAAGACTCCCATGAGTGTGGGTTACGCTTGACAGCCATTTCTGCTGCATGTACTGCTGGAAACATTTCATGAAGAGACATCAGGACCTGTGTGCCAAAGGAAGAAAAAAAAACCTGTCATAAGCATATATAAGATAAACTGACAAACTTCTGGTTGATAATCATACATGAACAACGACTTTCCTTTACAAAATATATGTTATTCTGGCACACAGCATTCTCATGACTTTTCTTCCCTGCTTTACATTCATTACCAGAAATTCTATATCTTTTTTTACTCCCAAAATAAATGAAAATATAAACCATCTCTATGTCCATGTGATCAAAACCAAGAAGTTGAATTCCAGCCATGGTAGCTCGGAGCTACCTGAAGCCCAGCCTTCACTTTGAGTTACCCTATTTACAATGTACTTTTTAGGAAACAGTCAAGTCTTGCTGCTAAAACTAGATAAATAAGTTTGTTTATCCAACCACCCTATCCCAAGTGCACATCTACCTGTTGAGAAAATAAAACAACCTGCAGACCTCAGAACTGAGCATTTCAAACCACACAAACCTCACAGAATTAGAGAACTGAATGCTTCACTTCAACCCATGGAAAATAGTTTACTTCATTTATAATCTTTGGGTCCATGAACATTTTGGAACATTCTTGACACAAGTACCATTCTTAGGTTCTAAATTAAACTCTTCATATATTTCACTATAAATCTTGCCATAATCTGCATATACTTTGGCCCTGAAACTGAAAGCACGCAAGTGAAGGGCTTTACAAAATCGGCTTCAGTGGACCTAATTTATTTGGATTCTTCCTCAATAAAATAACTCAAATCTGGGAAAGCATGTGACTCTCATTTGAGAGTTCTGTGTGGCCAATGCTTGTTAATATAGATCAAGGCTCAACTGCAATAATTATTTATCAAAAATTATACCTAATGCTCTTTTAGAGACGTTATTTTGTTATGTTAACTTTTGAGAGTTTCTCTGTGGAGCCCAGGCTGGCCTGGCATTCGCAATTCTCCTTGCCTTACTCTAAGTGCTGGGATTACAGTCATGTGCCACCACATCCAGCTCTATTTGAGACTTTCAATATTTATTAGATACCTAATTCAGGTGCTTAGAGGCTTTCTATATATAATTTTCCATAAAATATTAGAAGTGTATGTTTAATACATTAGTTCTCTAACTGGTAATAATTATGCCAGCCTTTCGCTAGGATCTATATGTTTGTTTTCTCTTTATCTCGTCTGTATTTACCTTCTGGGCAGATGTGACTTGAGAAGTCCATTTTCATTCATAAATCTTACCTAACTCACTGTTCCATGGCTTCCCTAGACCTATGGAGGTTTAAGGATTTGTTGCTCAGGACTGCTTTTGGGCAACAAGTCCTATGGGGAATTCTTCCTATCAGGCAGATTCAGTGTATATACTTATTTCTAAGATTAGCACATGTAGAGGTAACGAGTGAGGGTGGAAACTTTGAAAAGCAATCCTAGAAGATGAACTCAAAGCAGCTTAACATTTGTTTTTCTTTTAAACAAGATATATCTCAGAGTCCTTCGGTGACAAGACCTGGTCTACTAAGAAATCCACCTTGACATCAATCACAAAGTTAACATAGGTTATGTGACTTCCTATAGCAATTGTTCTACTAACCTACTCAAATTAGCCAAGATAAAACCAGAAAAGGCATTTTTAGCTTTTCTTTAATGACTAAGGAGTAAGAACCATTATGTGTCTTTGTCATGTCACAAAGATTCTTTTTAAAATGTTAACAATAATAAACCAAAAAAAAAATGCTGAAAAATAGAAGAAATAAAGGTTATGTATTGAAAATGTAACAACTGGTTCTTCTGATGAAGCTGGTCTCCTTCATCCCTTCCAGGAGCATCCTCTCTGCAGTCTCAGAAGCTGGAGTTTCAGAGGCAGATACTCCTTCAACTTCAACAATACTTAGACCAAGTCTGATGACCCTGTGAATCCTGTTGCCATGTGTCTGCCGATCTTCCAGACTGAGGCCACAAGGACAGTTTTATGCAGCAAGATGAAGATCCTTCACTGAAGTTTCTGTCCTATCCACGGGTGTTTCTTTGCTGCCATGAAACTCACTGTTGAAGTCTCTTAAGACTTGACTCTTTATGTGTTCACTGTCCATTCGTGTGTACTTGTGACAGACAGCCTGGAGAAGTTCCCAATAAGTTTGGTATGACTACTACCTTTTCCAACTTTATTTCCAAGGGTTCTTTCTATAATTTTGCAGAAATTTTGTCTTTTTCTCTTCCCATTTTTTTCTTTTGTCTTCTAGAAGTTCCCTGCTCTCCTTCTTTGGTGACTGACACTAAAATCCTTTGCTCAAATTCCTTCAGCTGTTGGACATAGTACTCATCAGTGGGCTTTATTGTTTGTATCATTTCTAACCATGTTATTGGAGATGTTCCCCAAAGGCCAAGGTAACCACAAAGTACTTGGTGATGGAGTAGATGTCTTTCTGGCTTTCCTTTATTCTGGTACAGCAGTCCTAGACAACCATCTCATCCCCAGAGCAGATGGAGTATTAGACCAGCCCTGAAACGTTCTAGCAGTGGTGAGTCTTCAATGATTTCCAGTTACATTTTTCAAGAACTGCTCATAAAACTTGTCTTTATCTTCTGCCAGTTCGGTGAACAGTTCTAAGCAATTTTTGACCAAATTCATTTTGATAACGTTCAAAATATTGCTTTTTTACAACTTATCACAGAAACTATTTGAAGGGACACCCTGAGAATATGCCTCCTCTGTACTGACAATCATATACTCAGGAGTTAACTCCTTACCCATGATAGAAACAGCAAGCATACAGTCTTTTTTTTTCTTTTTTAAAGTCTGTCTCCCAGGCAGCTGGGATGGTCTTTATACATTTTTATTTATTTTACATATGTGAATACACTGTAGCTTCAAACACACCAGAAGTGGGCATCAGATCCCATTACAGACGGTTGTGAGCCACCATGTGGTTGCTGGGAATTGAACTCAGTACCTCTGGAAGACCAATCAGTGCTCTTAACCACTGAGCCATCTCTCCAGCCCAAGCATACAGTCTTATGTGATTCTTCTTCCTTTTTCTTTTTGTTCCTCTGCTTAAAGAGATCAAAGGGAACATGTCTCGGGACAAACACAAGCCAATGCCCTTCAACAGAAAAGTGCTTCCCAACCGTTGGTCAAGCACTTGTAGACCTGCCCGCATTCTTCATTACTATGACCTCAGGATTTCTGGCCCAAATAGGATTGGTTTTGCTGAGTGTTTCTTGACAAATGTACTTTTCCTTAATCTTCTTTTTCTTGTCACCAATTTGTCTTAGTTAAGGTTTCTATTGCTGTGAAGAGACATGATGATCACAGCAACTCTTGCAAAGGAAAATATTTACTTGGGGCTAGCTTATAGTTCAGAGATTTTTAGTCCACTATCACCATAACAGGAAGCATGGTGGGAAGCCAACAAAAATGGTGCTGTAGAGATAGCTGAGAGTTCTACATCTGGATAGAACTCCAGACAGCAGGAAGGGAGTATCACACTGGGCCTGGCTTGAGCGCATGAGACCTCAAAGCCTCTCCCCCAGTGACACATTTCCAGCAACAATGCCACACCAACTCCAACAAGGCCAGATTTCCTAATAGTGCCACTCCTAGGAGCCTATGGGGGTTATTTTCTTTCAAATCATCACACCATTCTCCTCCCCTCCTCTTCCACCTTCCTCTGAATTAACTTCATTTAAGGCTCGTCACCAGACTTCTTGTCTTCAGCCTCATGACCACTGATTTCTCTATCATACTCCTCCACAAAGGGAACAATGGGTTAGCCAATAAGCTGAGACTACTTATTAATAATTTCTTTTATTCTTTCCTCCAAGTACTCAGTTTGGTCTTCTTTCAGAGGTACAGCAGCCTTTGTTCCATGGTATGTAGAGTCCCCTGGGACAGTCTTCACTGTGAATGATCCCTCTGCTGAGGAGTCCCGGGTCTGCTGTTCATCATTATTATTCTGGGTGCTCACAGCCACTTTCTCAGCAACCAAATACACAGTAAAAACAAAAACACCACCAAACTGGCTGACCACAAAGATATCTGCAGCAGCCTGCAGAGCCTCCATGATGGCTTCAGTCCCAAACCTGCACAATACCAAAGCTGTTGATCAAGTCATCCCTAGTCACTCTCATCCCAGCACCCACACCAGTCAGAGTTTAATCCGGATTGTGGGAGCAGTAATTGGTACACAGCTCCTTCCCTTAAGGAAGCGGGAGCGGTAACTGGTACACAGCTCCTTCCCTTAAGGAAGCGGGAGCGGTAACTGGTACACAGCTCCTTCCCTTAAGCTCTCACATCTAATTCATCCAAAGCACCTGAAACATCTGAAATGCGCCCCTAAGAAAGGTCTCTTTGAGTAGAAATTATTAATAATCAAGTGACATTAACTAGGCAATTTGTACAGAAAAGGCAGTCTCAACCTCTTCCTCTTCCATTAGTCAGGCTTAGGTCTGGGTTTCCTCAAACGTCTTCACTGAGTCACTAATGCATGTTCTAGTAGCAGCTCTGGATGGTGAAGCAATGGACCTGTGACGTATCTTCCAAAATACAACACATCTTCATTTCAGAAAAAAAAGAGCTACTAGTAGACAATTAATTTATAAGTAAAGTAAAAACTTGCCATCTATTTTAAAAATTAGCTAGTAATTTTATCTGTATGTTATAGCTTCTTAGAGCTAGGTTGAAATAACAGTTGAGCTCACTGCAAGAGCAAATGCGTTTCTAATTTTATACACAAAACAAAGCTATATATAACATGCTAATATTTTTCAAAAACAATTATATTAGAAAAGAGAAATGAGAGCAGACAAATTTCCCATCACAGCTCACTGAAAAACCACAACATAATTACATAGTAAAAAATCAGATTTCTTGTAATTCTTACCTGTGACTTCATCTCATAAAGGGTGGCATCATCTGGGGTTAGCTGTAGTGCTTCATCCCACTTCTGAATTGCCTCCTGGTATCTGCAGTTGTTAAAGTTACATTAATATCATATTTTAACCTTCAGAGTACATGTTCAATTTGAAACTCAGGAACTTGAAAATAATCTATTAGAAATAGAAAATTTTCTATTAAAGATTGCTAATAATGCTGTTATAAAAGCTTAGGTAAATTAAACAAATGGAAGAAAAAAAAGTGGAAAGGGCAAAAATATAAATAAGAGATCTTACAAATTGCCTTCTAAGACTCTGTAGCCTGAGCTAGCACAATGGCTTAAGGGGGCAAAGCCTACCACTCATCAATCCCTCGATCCCACCTAAAGGTAGAAGCAGAGAACTAACTCTATAAACTTGTCCTCTGACCTGTGTGTGTCACACACACACATCATAGTATTTATATACTATTGTTATTGTTATTATTATTATTATTATTAAAAAGAACTTTGCGGGCTGAGAAATCAAATGTCTTTCCTTTTTAATTAACTTCAGTGATGGGATACGTGCTTTAAAGGATTTGCCTTAAAAGCTTGCAATCCAGTTTCTAAGCCTAGGTTCTGCTATAGCAATCTACCTGGCAGAGATGACCGTCATCCTGACTAGTTTTATGACAACTAGACACATCTAAATTCATCTGAGAGGAGGATTCCTGAATTGAGAAAATGCCTCCTTATGACTGCTAGCAGGCAAACAAACCTGTAGGGCATTTTCTGAATTAGGAATTGAGCCTGTTGTGGGTGGGGCCACTCTGGGCTGGTGGTCCTTCTCTGTAAGAAGTAGGCCCAGCAAGCCAATGAACAGCCCTCTTCACAGCCTCTCTACAGCTCTTGCCACAGGCTCCTGTCTTGTTTGAGTTCCTGCCATGACTTCATTCAATGATAAGCAATGACCTGTTGATGTAGCAAAATAATTCCTTTCCTCCCAAATTGTTTTTAGTCATAGAAAGGACAAATATCTATTTTTGTTCATAATATAAATACATGCCAAGCTTAAAAGACAGGTAAAATGCACCCAAAATAATATGCAGATAACTTCTAGTATGTTGTGGTTTGACTGTGACAAGTCCCTTAAAGGTATATGTATAGACACTTAGTGCAAATAGTAGCACTACTTGGAAAAGTTGTGGAACCTTTTTTTTTCACTGTTTAAAAATTCATCTGTATTGAATGAACAATCCCATAAGCAGAAGCCTACTGTACACGATCAATTTTCTCTTCCCACTGTTTCATCTGGATGCTTGAAAACAGTTTTTTATGTCAAACTGCTGAAAACAAAAGACTATCTTTTTTACAAAACACAAAAATAGAGTCCTGGAAAACAACACAGTCCAAGTGGAGGCACTGCTTCATCATCAGGCCTTCTGCACAGGTGATGAGAGGCTCCGAAGCTGCCAGGAGTGAGCACAAAATAATCGTGCCTCTCTACAAGGGACTATGTGCTTAAGTCTCTATGGTTTTCGTGCACAAGCTTTCCAATCTTTCTGAAGAAACTAAGAGAGAAAAGGAGGCGGTCCTACTACAGCAACCAAAGTGGAGGAAGGGAAGACCACTTAGACATTGGTTCTAAATTATCGAAGTTAGTTTCCTGCTGTCATTTGTTAGAGCTGCCTTTAAGAGGTGGTACCTCAGTGAGAAATGGATCACTGGGGGCCAACCTACAAATTTTAAACACCAGCCCTGCTTCCTGCCTCCCCCCTTTGTCCTGCTCCACTAGGGTGTGAGACATGAGGAGACCCAACCATACACTCCTGCCAGGGTGGAACTACTAACCTCATGCCTTCTCTACAATGACAGGCTGCATTCTGTCAAACTAGAAGCTAAAATCAACTCTTCCTCCCTTAAGTGGCTTCTTGTCAAGGCTTTGGTTACAGCAACAAGACTAATAACTAATCCACACTACCACCTTTTAAGATTGAGAACCAGGTATTCAATTAATACCTTCAGCTGTAGCCACAAACAGCTAAACTAACTCAGTAACTCTAAAATTGCCCTTAGCACAGTTGACACAAAGTCTTCAGAGGCTGTGCACTTTCTCCTGCTCCCTAGGCAATGTTAGCGAGCACTGCTCCTCTTTCCAAGTACCTGAACACGTCTGCAGTTCCAGGGCTGTGAATCACTGACAACCTCTTGTCACATACTACCTTCTCTTAAATCATTTCTTGTTGTTTTCCAGACCCTTCATTTTCTCAGTATGTGTTCTATATGTACAATACATAATATTTAGTAATAAACAACTGCTACTGGTTCATATTCTCTAATAAAAATTATAATCCTATAATACACATAATAGTGTATGTATGTGCGTGCATGTGGGCATGTGTGTGTATGGTGTATGCTTGTGTTGATGTGTGTGTGCAGGCATTAGGACAGGATCCTCCTTTATTGCTCTTGATGCTAACTTCTTGAGCCTGGAAAAAATCCAGGTTTGTAAGGCTAGCTGGCCAGTGAGCTCCTGGGATCCACTATCTCTCAGCCAACAATGCTGGGGTTACAGGCACACGTGCAGCTTTTAATTGAGTGCTGGAAATTCGGACAAAGATCCTTTCCAATTATTCAGCAAGCATTCTTATCAACTGAATCATCACCGCATCAAAATGACAATCTTTTTATTGCTATTTTAGAGCTCATCTCTTGTACTTAGGAGAACAAGTTACTGTACAAGATCATTGTAAATTCACCAGAAGTGAAACTCCATACACCCTGTTCTCACTGACTCGCTTAACCGAAAAGCCAACTCAAGAGACTGACCTAAACCATCTAAGTTGTTATTTAGTCCAATTATTTTTCTTTATACCACATGCATAATTGTGTGGGCCTTAAACATATTTCTCATTTTTACATTGCACTTGGAAACCACAAGGAGCTTTGTGAATTATATATTAGCAGACACTGACAGCCACTGAGCACAGACTACAATGCCAGCTACTTTACGTTCATTACTGTACTTGACCCTCAGCAGAACCCCAGGTGGCATCGTCAGTTATTATCTCCATTTCACAAATAAGAGAGCAGAAGATTACAGAAGCTAACATCCCAAAGGTAGCTAATGCTGCAGCTACAAGGGTCGGGTAGGGTTTGAAGGCATCAAGTGTAACATCAGAGCCTCATGCTAAGCCACACTTGGTCCTATTTCCTCACTAGGCATCCTTTTCAACTGCCATGTAAGCTTTTGTAAGTATACTCCATTGGGCTCACACATGAAACTGCCTAACACCCACCTCTCAGAACATCCATTGTATTACGGAAAGGATGCTGTACAAAAAGACCCAAACTCCTCCGTCAGTGAAGTGCTTGCTGCACAAGCCTGAGGACCGGAGTGCAGTTTGTCTGCACTCACATTAAACCCTGAGCATGAAATATCACCACTGTGGAGACAGACAGGAGGATACTCCTGGACTGGCCAGCAGAGGCTATCAGCAAACCCCAGGTTAAGTCTCATACCGTCTTGACAAAGCACAAAGAGTACATAGTGGGAGTGTGCTTTACGAAGTTTGCTTTTAGAGTCATTAGAGGTGTGGCAGTCAACCCACACTTAAAATGAACAACTCTGCTGTGGTGCTCGAAGCTTAACTACAACTTAAATGCTCAACTCAAGAGAAGGTGGCAACCTCTGATTCCAGCCAAATCACACAGAAATAAGTAAGCCTAGACCACTGTTAGAGACTTTTTGGGCTTTGAGAAGCTCTGGCAATCAGTTCTTACTATGTATCTTTGGCTGGCCTAGAACTTACTATCTAGGCCAGACTGGCCTCAAACTCAGCTCCATCTGCCTCTGACTCCCGAGAGTTGAGATCAAAGGACTCTACCACCAAGCCCAGCTCCTTCATAGCCTTTACCTGACAGAATTCCTCCATGAAAAGACATCTGCCTGAGCACTGTTTAACCCTAGGTGAAAGGCTACTCGAGCGTCAGGAATTACTTTCTAATGACGTGAAAACAGTGTGCCCCCCTCCCCCTCATTCCTCACACGACTTCATTATTTGTCTCAGCTCTTGCTGTCACTATCATTTTACCACGGTCTCTATTCCTGAGTTTCTTACATGAAATACAATCCCATGCACCCCACTGCCCCTCTTGCATCATTCCTCACTCCCTAACATGCTCCCTCCCAGATTCTCCTTCCTCCTCTTCTCCATAGCCCAGGAAGTCCAATCAGAGCTGCCCACTGAGCATGGTTGTTGGGCTACACAGGAGGGTGGGCAACCTGACAGTTCTGCCCCAACTTTATCATGTGTCAGCACAATTCTGGGTATTTTCCCAAGAAATCACAAGTCTAGGTTTTTAAATGTATTGTACTTTTTATATACATAGCAAACACCCCTTCGTTCCTTTAGACCACAAGATTCTCTCTATAGCATACTTGCTTAGAGGGTGAATATTATACAGTTATAAGAAATATAGAAAGAGATAGTATCTTTATTGGTAGGTACTAGAAACAGGGTTTTAACCAGTCCTTTTTTCAAGAAAAGACCACAAGTTCTTTTACCCAGGACACAGCTGACTGGAACAAAGAAAAATGCACAATCCAAATAAGCCAATCCATTGTCAAGTTGACTTTGTATAATTTCTATGACCTGGTCCAACTGGGATAAGCCTATCAGATTCCTCTTTGTAGAACCTGAAAATAGGAAACTGAAGAGCTGAAACTATGTAGAGGAATAGTTTGAAGAGAATTGGTATTAGGTCTTCCTTGAAGGTCTGATAGAATTCTGCAATAAAACCATTTGGCTCTGGGCCTTTTTTTTTTTTTGGTGGGGAGACTTTTAATGACTGCTACTATTTCTTTAAGGGTTATGGGACTGTTTGGGTTTTTTTGCTCCTGATTTAACTTTGGTACCCTGTATCTGTCTAGAAAATTGTCCATTTCATCCAGATTTTCCAGTTTTGCTGAGTATAGGCCTTTGTAGTAGGATCTGATGATTTTTTGAATTTCCTCAGTTTCTGGTGTTATGTCTCCCTTTTCAGTTCTGATTTTATTAATTTGGATACTGTCTCTGTGCCCTCTGGTTAGTCTGACTAAGGGTTTAT